TTTAAAAGGAAATTAGCTAAAAATTTATATAATCGTTTTTAAAAAAATAATAATGCAAAACCATTAATTAGTATTTACCTTATATTCAAGATCCTAAGATTTATAAGTCTATAAAGATAAATTAATGTCAATTTAAACTTTTTTTTAAAAAATGAAAAATACTAATATAATCTTACCTCAGGTTCCAATCTAAGATTTTAAGGATTCAGACTGCTCTGACTGTTTTACAAAGATAAGTTAATATTAGTTTCTTATTTTTTTAAATTTTAAAAAAAATTACTAATAAAATTTTCAATTAGGACTTACTCTGATCCATCCAGACCATCTCACAAAGGTAAATTTATTGTTAGTTTTTTTTTTTTATCCTTTTATCCAATTTTAAGTTTACAAAGGTAAGTTAATATATTTCTATCTTTTTAACCTTTTTTTTATAAAAAAAAAAAAAAAAAAATACTAATAAATTCTTACTTAAGATCCGATTTTAATCCAAGGTTTCAAGAATTCGGACTGTTTTACAAAGATAAGTTAGTTGAAATATTAGTTTATTTATAAAAAATAAAACCAATTAACTATATTATTTAGGACTTACCTCCATCCTAAATTTCAAGGTTCATAGGTTCCGGATGTGACGCAATATAAAAATCGATATTTTATTAATAATTTTATAATTATTACAAGAATTAAGAATGTAAAGCTAATATAATAATATAAAGTTTCAATAAGCAATAAAAAGCAAGTTAAAAAAATACGCCAATTAATTCTTTCCATTATTTCTATTAGAAGATATGGGGTGAGTGCTAGGAAAAAGGACCAAATCGACAAAAAAATTTTTTTTGAAATAACAAATAATCTAAGTCAGATGACCAAATCTACATCTATTTTACTTAGGAACTTTTTTTTTAAAAAAAAATCAATTTGGTCCATTTTCCCAGCACTCACCCCATATGACCCAACCCGTTTTGCTATCATTGCGGAATATTCAAGTAGTAATCAAATCATAACTTTGTTTATATCCTCTGGTATAGTCTTTAAATTATAAAAGAAGAAATCATCGGGTAAATATAACCAGTCTCGTACCCTTTCAGTATTATTGTCAGCTGGATTGGAGATTATTTTCCGCAACTTCTCCTGTTCCTTAAATTCAGTTCGAATGGTTTTGAAGAAATTGAAGATTTTTGTAAAATGTGAAATGAAATCAAATGAAAAAGGGATTATACAAGTAGCCAACTCTATTACCAAGTATTTCTTTCGGTCTGTGAAGGAAACAGAAAATAGTGTAAGACGGTTACTAATAACCTGAATACTGTAGGTTCTTACTCTTTTAGCATCTTTGATGCTACAATCTAGATTGCTACCAAATAATTGACAGAGACTGCAGACAGACATCATCAGCAATTTTTTGTATCTCCAACAGTGTGTGGTAGTGCAGGTTTGAATGGTGGTCTTGAAACCTCAGTGTTCATCTGATAAACGTTGAATAAGTAAGTCTACTTTTCGTGAACTGATGTCATCTTCGAACATATTATTAGCCATCTTTATAGAGACAACCTCTTTCTCGATCCACCCATATTTGATGTCTGGAAAAGAATTTTGAAATGCACGAAAAATTGGAGATAAACATTCAACAATGAATGTACACTCAGACATATCATGGCCCAAAACTCTCGGAATTTTATATTGAAATTCGCAACAAAATCTAGGAGAGTATACCGAATAAAAAAGTTAAATCTCGCATCCTCTGTCTGATCATCACCTTTGGTTATTGTCTCCTCAATGATTTTGATTCGATCTTGCACTTGGAAGATTGGAAGCACCTTTGGAAGGTTTGGAAGCATAATTTATTAATAAAATTATTTGGATTGGAAGCTTCCAATCAAATTTTTTATTATTGGAAGCATAAAATGCACATCACTGCAATCTTGCTGTAATCGGTTTCAAATATCACTTTCAGCTTTCTAACAAAAGTTTCCTCCAAGATCAATCGGTCACTCATTTGCAGTATCTTTGTTATTTCCATATAGGTTTTCTTTTCAATAGTTTCCTTAATTCAATTTATTGTATCATTGAACGCGTAAATAAGATATGGAAAATATTTGTCATACATCATTTTCGTTATAATTGGGTTTGTTTGATGTTGTTTTGCAGATTGAATTACTGGAAATTGACATGAAGCAACAATATCTTCTGTGCCTAATGATGCCGTTGTTTGTTGGGCTACTGAACTTGGTGGTACATGAACACAACTTTTACTAGGACTAGGAACCCTCTTTTTTGATATTTCCTCAATGTAATCTGAATCTGAATTTATTTCTACATCTAATTCAACATAATTTACTCTTCTTCTTTTTCTGAGCACCCTTGAGGTTTCTACTTCCTAAGGTATATGCATCATAAAAATCAAACATGCATTACTAGTTACATGATAAATCAAAGCTTAAGAAATAAATACCTGGTTCTTCTTATTGACATGATTGGACACTGAATTCTTTCCGGATTTCTGTAATAGAGAAGGGTGTGAGTAAGATTCTTTATCATATGGAAGGTACATAGCCGATAGAATCAGCAGACCTTAATCAAAGAGTCTCATAGTAAGACGTGCCCGTCACAAAATGTCTACATGACTGGACGCTCTTCCCTATACCAGCTGAACAGGGCGTAACACACTCACTATGCTCGTTAATGTTTCACCTTCCTGAGAACGTGTAAAGCTATAACCTTTAATTCACGTTTAAACGCTGATGCTTTCCGGTTGGTTATCCATTCAGAAGCTAATATTAATGCGTTCTTGCTTGCTTTTTGGTTTTAATTCTTCTCTCAAAATTTTAAGTTCAGCTGCCAAAACGATATGTGACTCCTGCTTTGACCTTTCTTTAGAAAAGAAATCATCCCATCCTTTTGGACACTACTCCATATGACTTCTCCTCCAATAATCGCCATAATGAAGTTTATTTAAGACACTTTTTGACAACATAGAAGTAGTTTGAGGAAGCAAAAAAATTACGGAAGCAAAAAAAGCAATAAGGCAGGGTTAAAAAAAGATTATTTAACCTTTATAGTCGCGTTTAGAATATAACCCGTTACCTTAGTCGCGTTTTTTACACGCAGTGGCAGGATTGGGAATTTTGTATGTACTAGATAAATTTAACACTAGTTACTAATTTTTATATTAATTATTATAATGTACTAACTACTAATCATTGTACTAACACTGCCCAACCCTGCATATTGTACTAATTTTAGATTGTCGATCTTTTTTTTGAAAGAAATTTTTGTGTAAATATTTCGATAATTTATTATACTTGTATGCTTAAAAATTAGATTATTATATAGTTAAGCATATCGGGCTTAAATTAAAACAAAAATAAATTTTTTGACGGAGAGGTCTCAGAGGGGCATTTTGCTAGTCCATGACCCATATAAGGGGCCGAATTTATTCAGACCAAAGATTGTCACGCTCAGACTAAATATTACGCTTCACATCAACAGTACATTAGTAACTTTATTTTCAAATGATTTAGATTCAAGAAGTTCTGGTATGGTTAAAGGGGAGAGGGTATTTAATTCATATGTGTTAGTCTGATTGAGAAATCATCGGCGATATTGAACAAACTGGAAATTGCGAAAAACTTTTACATGTATTTAAAATTCATTTACATGAGATCACTTTTTATTCGGTCATAGTATTAACTGTAGTTTTCTCGTAAATTATTATTTCCATATATAGCCTGATGTGTGTGCAAATTTATTAACATGAATATACAATACATTACTTTGTGGATGTGCAACTTTCTAATGCTGATATTAATTATCTTTCGAGTAATTTCCTAGAATAGTAAATAAAAGAATAAATTTTTTAACATGATTAAAGGTACTATAGTTGGATCTCGTGTTGATAAGTTTTAAATTCCATCACTCGATTAATTACCAATAAAAAAACCTTACAATTAGACGGTCACTTGTAATCGATTAAGGACATCATTGTCTCTCAGGAAGTCCTAATAGGTTCTAATAGGTTTATAATGTGGGATGTTATTTAGAATGTCATAGTCCACCAAACCACAGTCTATGTTTGAGGCATCCCTTTGCCACGAGAAAATTTCTCGAGTTCATATCCAGTTTGACCAGTTGTTTCTAATTGAGGCTCCCGTATCCATAACCATATGAAACCGTTATCATTCTTGATTCATTTAAGACATTTACTGTCCAAGGGAGACCGTCTCCTGTTACACAAATTTCCCGATTTGTCAGCCAATCAAAATCGTGAATTCTATCACGTGACGCCAAATAGAAAATACTATTGTAACTGATGCGAGTT